ATTCCCCGAAGTTTGGTGCATGTGTGATGGTGTTTTTCAGGGCTTATAGAAGAGGCAATTAAGTGTTCATATAGGGACAGTATTGCAGATAGTGTTGAATGAAAGATGTGAAGTCAAGCAAGTTTGATCGTGAATATGCTGAAGTGTAGATCAAATCTATGTAGCTTCTCTTCCTAAAAACTAAAGCTTTTTTGCTGTGGTTAAGAGGGGAGATTGGGCTCTTTGCTACAGTGCTCGTCAACCGTTTTCCTAGGATTCTGTGAAGAGCTGTATACACCGTTAACGTGCTGGCACGTGTTAGAAATCCAACTCGCTATCCCATTGTAGGAGTGACCTGTGCTGGGGCTTAAACTGGTAGCAAGTAGTGTGACAAAAGTTTCCTGACCTTGTTATGTTTCTTGGAATAAATTCATTTTATTTGTTTACACGGTGGTTTGTCCTGCCTGGCCTTAAGTGCCAAATTCAAAGTTGATGCCTTTTTCACTACCGTTTCCTAAAGAGGGCAATTGATGCTTTGGTTGAGATAAATGCAGACGGACAGGTCACTTAGAATTAGGCCTATAGCTTGACGTTGCGGTTGCCCTCAGAAGTGAATGAATGGAATTTGCGAAGTGTTAAGTATCTCTGAGAGGCTACACTATTAAAAACCTCTCTTCAAATGACTCAAAGGAGTGAAACTAGACATAGCGCACCCTTGCCATCTCTCCAGCGTGATGAAGGTAATAGTCAACCAATAGCCAGCCATGGTAGCAAAGGTGAGTTTCTGCTGTGATATTATTAAATACGTCAGATTTATTTTATGAGCACTTCGTAAACACGAATTCTTTCCTTTATTGCTTAATATAGTAAAACTTGCTCACTATTAGAAAGCTAACATTTAAAAAAGGCTGATGTCTATAGTGTATCAAGTAGATGTTCTGCCTCAGCTGCTTTGGACTTGGAACTCTCTTAATGCTCTAGCTAGCTTGATTAGCGCTTCAAAGGGGATTGGGGTGGAGAAAAGGAGGAAAAAAAAAATCATACTTCCCATTGGTTGTAAGCCTATGCAGCCTGTTGGCTAGAAAACTAGTCTAGAGGTGCAAAGAATTTTATCATGAAATCTTACTGTGTTCTGGCTCTGAAAGGCTTTAATTTCCATCAGCTAGTAATCAAGGCTATAGTTTTATTAAAAATCTCTTACAAAATTCATTCATAGAAACTGAGATTTATTCATAAAAACAAAATTACTTCAAGAGTGTTTTTCCTGTCATAAAAGGTTTATAATAATAATTTTGCAAATGTGAGCGGTCCGATATGGAGCACAAGTTTGTCCAGGTATTTGGCAAGCATGCCTGTAACGTGGTTTCCATTCAGTTGCATGTAAAGCTGTCCAGTGCCTAATCTGAAGAAAAATATTTGAAATGATTAGGTCTCTCGGATCTTAATGAGTCTGTGCAAAATAATTTTGCCCTATGCAAGTCTTTACTGAATGTAGGTTTTCTGCTTGCTGAAACAGTAGCAATGTTCACTTAAATCCTCCCATGAAATTTATTTCCAAGGTGTAACTGTAAGTCAGCTGGATGAAGAGACGTATTCTGTGTTTGCCCCCACACCTAGTGCTATGCATGAAGCAAGAGAATTTATCCGTGAAATCTGCAAAGATGATGTAAGGACAAACTTCCGTTGTTAGCTTTTTCAGTTTGCGTTTTGTGAACGTGTGTCTTACTGTTTTCTTTTCCCCCCCCCACAGCAGGAAGTTAATTTAGAATTTGGTGCAGTTTATACAGCCACGATAACTGAAATAAGGTATGAAAAGTGCTCTGGAGTTGAAGTAGAAATTAGTTTTAGGTAGCTATATTCCTGATACCTAAATATGATGTAAAATAATTGATTTTTAAAGGATGCCAAACTTACGCTGGCGACATTGGCACCTGCATTGTTCCTGATATTTTATGTTGAAAATACTATTCTGTTTCTTAATAAGGCTGTTAATTTTTGCTGCTTGATTAGTTACTAGAATGTCTTTATAAACTGTAAAACTTAAGGCCTTTTTTCATCTTTCTATCTGAGACAGATGGTAGGAATTTGCTTTTTACTTTTCTGCAAGACAAATATTGGATTGAAATTACATGCACTTTTTGAATGTACTTATTACTGAAATATACTGTCCTGAAATAAGTAATTTCCATCCACTTTCAAATAAGGAAAAATGACTGGACGTGTTATGGTTGGTATAAGATTTTTAAAAAGGGAGGAGTAAAATCTTGTTTATGAAAAGTTTACTAATGCTTGCTCTGAGGTCAATATGCAGAGTAAAATGCAAACAGATTTCTGTCAATGTATCTTGAAATAACCATGCTGTTTTCTGGGGCAGAGATTCTGGAGTGATGATAAAATTGTATCCAAACATGACACCAGTGTTACTTCATAATTCACAACTTGATCAAAGAAAGGTAATACATGCTTCAACAAGTATAAACTATAGAAGCTTATGTTTGTTTTTAATTGATTCTCACTAAACATAGTCTGCATTAGAACAACAGTGTGTTACAGCTAGAGTCCGTTTTCACATTAAAAGCTGTGTTAGATTAGCAGCACCTTTTTGTTTAACCTCTGCTTCCCCTGTAATTAAAGCTGCAAACGATCTAACTGTATGCCTGCTACAATCCTACTGTTTATGCTTTTATGCACATCACCAAGTTCTTTAGATCTGCAATAACCTTTTCTATGTAACATTTAGAAACCTGTTGTTCGTAAGGTAGTGTTGAGCCACTATGATTGTCTGAAGTGTAGCATGAAGAATCCCTAAAAGAAGGAACTTTTGTAAAGAACCTTAAAAATTAATCACACTGAAATATTTTTTTCTGAAAAACGCTGTGTTCTAGATTAAACATCCTAGTGCCCTGGGATTAGAAGTTGGACAAGAAATTCAGGTAATTTTTTTTTTTTAGTTTAAAATGCTAATAAACTGCTGTTCATATTTTAGAATTTGAGTGAATTTTTTATTTTGTGTTTATGAAGAAAATATTTTGCCATATCAGATTCCTTTTCTGTACTGGATAAAGGCCTGGTCATTTCAAATTAGATCTATTTAGTGTCATACTCTTGCTGTCTAGGCACCACGTTAATTTGACAGAGTAATATAGGCTAAACAGTGCCTATTGTTTATGGCTTTTCTAGCATCAAATAGGAGGGGGGAAAACCAACCAACCAAACAAAAAAAACCCCAAACCCCTCCACCTTTTAAGGAAAATGCTATTTCCAGCTCTTTAAGTTGGTCAGTGTTTAAAGTGGTTTGTTTTCTTAACAGGTTAAATACTTTGGACGTGATCCAACTGATGGTAGAATGAGGCTTTCACGTAAAATTCTACAGTCACCAGCCACAACTGTGCTTAAAACCCTAACCGACAAAAACAGTATTGTCCTGGGAGGTACCATTTCACAGTCATCTACTTCATCCCAGTGACAGGTAAGGCCACAGGAGCAACTTAAGATGACTCAGTACTGCGCTTTCTTTACAACTATTGTAAAGAATTTTATCAGTCTGGTTTTTATATCGTACAGTTAGCCTTCAGTGGTGTGCAAATACTGCTTGCCAGTTATGTTGCCACGTGTCGTAAGTTAGCAACTACCCTTTCACGTGCTGCACTTGTAAAGAGCTTGATATTGTCAAATTGGTTCAAATGCCCTGACAGTTTCGGGCATCCTAGACAGCCCACTTTCTCCAAAACAAACTTTATTTGTTAATCTACATCATCTCTGTAAGCATTCCCTCTTCCCTACCTTGCCACCGTTTTTTTTAAAGGAAAAAAAAAAGCAGGATAGGGGAAGAGAAGAAAAAATAAGCTGCTTTCTTGAAAGTTTTGTGTCAATTAGTGGAGACTTCTCAGTCAATCTCAGTCAATGAATGGAATGCCCAAAGCTCTTCCCTAGAACTACTTTCCCAGCATGTATTTGACTGTCAATAGACTTATGCCTGAACTTTTCCCAAAACTGTTGTGCACGTTTTTTTTTTTTCCTTGGGAAGCTGCTAGACCAGGAAGATGTCTGATTGTAAAATCAAGAGCAGTTACACAATGAGATTGGCAAATGGAAATGCAGTGCACCAAAGATAACTTACGGCAATCTGTGGCAATCTTCTAGGAATGATTCACAACACTAGAAGTGAATTAATATTCACTGAAGAAATTTTTTAAGAAATGTTTTTGAATGTTTCGTGCCTTGATACAATTAGTTGGTTATAGAGTATTTTCTATCTCTTTCAGGAGAAAAGGCGTGATAGCTTGTGGAAATACAAGCGACCTTTGCTAGAGTCTGTAGATGTCTTCGCAAGAATCTGCAGGTGGATGGTAGAGAATCATATTTTTAAAATAGACACTATTTATGTTTAAAGGTGATGTAGAACTTCAAAGTCTTCAAATTGGTTAAAAACTCTTTAAAAATAAAAACGGAAACAACCAATGCTCTTATCTCATGTAGCAAGGGTGAGATGAGAATCTAAGAACATGGAGTTGTATAGACTGAAGAGCAGATTACATTTCAGTGCTTAAGATTCTTCTCGCTATCATCTCAAAATAAAAATGTAAAGATGAGGAGCAGGTATTTAACAGTTATTTCCTGGGAGAAGGAATTATCCTGTATGCTTGGTTGAGAGGCACACTTGGCCAAAGTTTTACTGGCTTTTCAGTGTACAAGATGGAAATGTTGAGCAAAACATAGACTTAGAAGTATCACCTTTAACATGATTGACACTGTTTCACATAAATACATCAATAACTCTCATAGGGTTCAGACTGGCTAAAATACCTGAGCAGAAGGGGCACAAAACAAGGAACCTGGCTGAAACATCATTGTTTGTTATCTGGGTTTGTTAACACTGAATTTTAAAATACATAATTAAAACATTAAGATTAAAATAATTCTTTTGGAGTAAACAATCGATGCGATTAATCTTCCCCCTAAAACATCCTCATTAAGAGTGTCAGAATTCCTCTACTGATTGTTCCATCAGGGGGTTCACTGGTCTCTTTTCGACTTCAAAACGTTTCCCAGGGGCTCACAAGAACTACTGGTTTTTCTGCTGTGAGGTACAGACTTGGAAAATCAGAGGTGTCCCTTCTGATGTTCACCAATTTGTGTGTAGACCTAAAAAGAGCTTCCCACCTGATGGCAAGGGGGCTCTGAACTTCCTGAAAGAAAAAGCACTGGGGAGAGGAGGAATTTGAATGTACAGTAAAAATTGCTTTTTTTTTTTCTATTCTAAGTTAAAATATTAAAGAAAGAAAGAAATGACTGGCCCACTTCCTTGTAGTTGTCTGTCTGTCTTTCATCACGTAAGATTGAAAAAGGTTTCCTTAGCAAGCTTTTCCTCTTCTTTGAGGACTGTATTCTGTTATTTCTTAGTAAGAATTCTAATGTCCTTGCTTACTATGATTTAACTTGATTGACTGATATCTGGTTTGTTACATATCCTGGATAGTGTTAATGAAATAAGGTAGGCAAATGTTAAAGTCCCCAAACAGAAGCGCAAATGTCTACATTTCTCATAACTGTTGTCAGAAATTGACCTCCTCAATCTAAGTGGTTTTCCAAGGTTGAGCTTCTCTTACTGTAGAATAATTTCTGTAAGGCTACTTTTTGAAGTAGAACAGATGGATGCTCTAGTTACTAAAATACTATGTAAAATACTAACTTTAGAAGTTGTTGTGGGGGGTTTTGGGGTGGTTTTTTTTTTTAGTTAGCACGTTACCAGTAGGATGCTTGCATTTGAATCTATGAGAATCGATGATTTAGGAGCCAAAAGAATACCATTCTTTCCTGTAAAGGTATTTTCTTGCCTGCAGTAACAGGAGTATTAATGATTTGTGTGATAGGTGGTGGTCTCAGTAAATCAACTGTTGGAGTGCTGGGGGATTTTCTGTTTGTTAGGTGATAGAATAGGGAAAAGACTTTTATGTTCCCGTGGCAGAACCTGTACGGTCAGCCTGGCTTTCTGCACTTGTAACAAGTTTTAGGCCCTATGGGAAGGGGCGGGAAAAAAATACGCTTGGGAACTGTCTGGGAGGAGCACAAACCAGCCGCTCTTACCTGAGGAGAGAAGCTCGATGGGAGCCAAGAATTGAGTAAGCGTGTGCTAGTCTGAACCTTCCTGGAGGGGAAGGCAGGCTGGCTTCAGACATCCCGGGTTCACCCGAGAGCCCTCAGTAGCGGCAGGTTCGACTGTGGCGGGAGATACTTGACTCTCGGGTGGTATCAGCTATGATCAGAGAGCAGGTAGGTTAATACCGCTTGGGAGAGCGAGCTCAGCCCTGTTGCAGCAGCAGTTTTGTTTGAAATAGTGATTTTTGTCTTTACTGCCCTGGATAATTAGCTTCTGTAACGACCCATCGTAAATGGAGCCATTGAAAGGAATTGCTTTGGAAAGTGAAGCTGGGTGGTTGCAGCATTACACCGGGTCAAGAGGGCCAGAAATGTGTTTTTTTGACAAGGCTGAAATTTTCACACAGCCGCACAGCGTCAGGAGCTGGGGTATCTTTAAACGCCAGCAATAAATATTACAAGTACTAGAATAAAAGCATAAGAGCTGGCCTAATTGTACTTGTGGGATTACATGCTAGAGGGAATGACACAGTCTCTTAATTTCACTCCAAGAAATTTTAAGCGATTTAGGAAGGAGTTGTGTGTCTTGCTTCTGAAAATAACAAAAAAATTAGAGCTCCCTGCTGTTCCATGGTGTGACACTTGATGACTTGCTCTGTCTGCAGCCTACCCTAACAAAATTCTTTGATGAAGAACAGAGAACTGTATCTAACAGCTATAGCTTGCTGCTTTGTGATAATGGGGAGGGATGAGCTACTGGCAGGTGCAATGCCACGATGAAAAAGCACTGCTTTGCTTTCTGTGAATCTTACGATGTAGAGATTCAGATGTGTTGCTTTCCTGGTCTTGTGTTTACCTTGGTTTTAAATCAGATATGCAAGAACTGTTGGGGCAAGTCTCGTGTATCGTCTTCAGGCAAAGCCCCCCAGAATTGACTTCCTTTTTATTGGTAGCAATGACAAGATCACGCTGCAGTTTCTAATACCCCAGGCTGCGGAGTCCTGGATGCCATTCTGTGTGAAAAGGAGCCCCGTGTCTGAGGGAATGCAGTCCGGGTGTGTTCTGGAGTGGCGTTTTTCCACAGAGGTCGTTGATTTCATGCCTGGAGAGGTCACTGATTTATTTCACAGCTTAAGCAGAGAAATAGTTTTTCATGCCAATTTTGGCTCGTGTATCTCCTACTCCTTCTGTAGCTGTTCACCATGATAGGTAAGAATTTGCTCCAGAGTATTCTGCTGTGGTTTTGTGCTATTCTGCATATCTGGAGAAATGCTGCATTTAATCTTGAGTAGGAGAGGTCATACTTAGTTTTACGCACTTGATGTGAAGACCGAAAGAGCATGTGTAGAAGTCTTGCAGAGGGGAGAGGGTTTGTGAGTGGCAGATGTCTCGAAGCAGCAGTATGCTGTGGCCATTGGGTTTTGTGTTTCTTTTTCTGTGTTTTCTTTTTACTGAGCTTTCACTGAGGCAGAAGTGTGCCCGATGTGTAAAATCTTGAGGGAATCAGGCCATGTAACGTGGAACAGGCCACCGACATGTAGCAGGGAAGGCTTGTGTGGAACCCAACTGTAAACTGTGCCTCTCAAACCATGGTTGGTGAAACCACTAACGTAACGTGGGCCTTTGTACAGTTACTGACTGACTTATCCATAAGGATATGATGCACGTATCCTAAAGTGTGTTCCTATACTGTATACAGCTAAAGATAAGTGTGTATGATAGTTCTCAGAGGTGTACCTTACAGTTGCCATCTTCTGGAAAGAAAACTGATGATTGTGTGTCTTCAGTGTCCCCTGTTAAAGATGAAAATAAGGGCTTGACTGGGCTTGAACCCTAGTTCCACAGAACCCCATTAAGGGTGCTTCTCTTAACGTTTTTTAGAGGTGGGTTGTTTTGCAGATGTTCAATGAGCAGCATGAGGCTGCCTCTTAAGGAACATAAAAAAGACTTTTCAGCTACACCAATGCAGCTGATTGATTGAAAACTGCACCAAGCAATGATCAGTGGCTGTCACATAGTGTGCTGAATCTTAAGGAGGTCTGTTACAAAGGTGGTCAGAGCAAAACCTGAGACTTAAATGTTACGTAGATGTAAATTTTCTGAATCTGCCTAGAGAATGTTTTTCTAACATATGGAAAAGTTGCACATAGTTACTTATAGTGGTGTATTCTGTAGTAAACTTTTTCTTTCCCTTCATCTGGAACAAGATTGAACTTAAGACGATGGAAATGCCAGTCTTGTAAGTAAGAGCTGTACCGGTGTAACTTCTTTTGCCATTAGGCAAGAGCTAGAAAAGCCTTGCTTTGTCTGGGAATGAGACACACCCTGGCCTGGGGAGCACCTGCCCTCCCATCTCCCTTGCCCCTCCTAGCCTGAAAGATTTTGTTCTGAGACACTTTCAAGCTTCCCCTCCTCCCCAAAGTCCCCGCTGTTTCACACAGCTTGACTTCTTGCACGCTTTTGTGTCCTTTTCCCCTATGCCCAAGCAAAAGCTGAAATGTAATTATTTTTTTACTATTATTCTTAGTACAGAGGAAATGTGTAGCTGGTTTTCGGTATGGAAAATAAAGATTTACAGGCTCTACAGTGCCTGGTAAGTGGCCTGTCTTACATTGCACAGTGTTTGTAAGGACGAATTAAGCATGTTTCTCTCATTGAGACGCTTCACGGAACAGCTTCAACTTTAGTTTAGCGTTTGAGCCTTCCGTACAGCCATACAAAGCACGGGAACGTGCAACAAAATGCGTATTATGGTGTAGGCGTTCCTGCGTGCCCTGCTGCGGTAAAGGGTTAGAGTGGCGAAAGGTGATGCCACAGAATAACCTTGCTGCTATTTTGTGATGTGAGAGAAACCTTCTCTTCCAAAACTTCAACTCTAGGCCCTGTGTGTGCTGCAGGCTGTGTTATTAGGACGCGGGCTGGTCCTAAAGCTTACCCTGGTGTGGATGTGGATCTTGTCCATCATTTTTGTGTCATGGCGGTGGCCATAGGCAGGTACGTAGTCCTTTCCACCTGTGTGAAGGGAGATGCTTTTAGGATAGAATAGTAAGAAGAAAATAGGGGTTTTAAGGTGTTTGGGGTGTGGGGTTTTTGGTTTTTTTTTTTTTTTAATGGGTGAAATTGTTCGCATGTCGACCAGAAGCTGTAGGCATGATGGGGCTGAGAAATGCAAACCCGCGGACAAACACGCATGTGACTACCCGGCTCCCGCCTTCCCCGTTCCTGTCAGAGAACCGCCCG